TTGATCCTGATTTCCTTAAATTACGGTTTGATTGCAAGGTTTTTCTTATAAACCCCTAAAATTTTACTCGTTTCTTTAAGTTGATTGATTCCATTCCCTTATTTACTGTGGTGCTTCATTTTTGCTGAATCCTTTCCTCAGATTAAGTATATTTTGTACTTAGACTCAATTATATACTCTATACTTTTACTACCCCTTATATGGTAAAAACCAATCTTTCTCAAACTGATTTCTTTCCTTAAGTTATCCCTGTTAGTATCCGTTAAGCTGTAATTCCTTGTTTAAAGGGGAGTACTTGTATTAATGGGATTCTAACTGTGATTACTTCCATATTTGTGCTGAACCTTTACTTGTTACCTTAATTTCTACCCATTTTCCAAAGCTATAAATACCCTAAGTCTTTCATTAACAACACACGAACAATAAGTTCAGAACACACACATACACACTCAAACTCTCTCTTCTTTCTCTACTACTTGTGCTACTGCTTGTCTAGCCGGCTGAAAGCCAAGGCTAGACCGTGGAATTCTACTTGCTTTACTTTTCTGCACTTTGCTTCCTTAACTGGTATGTCCTAGTTTAATTTTAAAGCCTCAACAACAACATGTTTCTCTTATTGTTTCAGTTTCTCTCATTGCTAGTCTACTTCTACTTGTGGTTCTGTTGTGAAACCTGTAGTTGAGTTACATTACTAGCATGCTATTATGTCTCCCCTTCCATTTAGATTAACGCATTCCATTATGTGTGTTTCAAAGCATGCCTTCTCAATCACTTACGGTGTACTTACCATCTTATGAATCCCAAATCCCTATCTCCTCCATGTGTTATGTTCTTTCTGACTGGTTTGTGATTATGCCAGTATCAGCTATTGCTGAGCATGTCCAAACCAGTCCTAGGACCCTTGCTGGGGTTATGTGTTTACAGTCAAATGTCTGTGTATCCCCAAATCCCTTGACCCCCCTGTGTGACTACTGATTCTGTGTGTGATCCCACCTTAAGGTGTTTGAGTTTTGTTTACTACTACAACTGCTTTCAATCATCTCTGTTACTGATTGCTTTCAAAATGGACTTGTCAGTCCAGTTTTTAAACGAACTCCTTTCAAACATGTGTTCTGCACCTTCACTATACTCTTAGAATACTAGGTTCTGCCCCTTTTGTGTGAGCCTTGCCTTGGGACCCTTGAGCTCCCTCTGAACTTGGACACATGAAAGCTGGCCTTTCCACACTGCACTTACTCTGTCTTGGCTATGAAATCTGGGTGTGAGCACTGCCCGGGATCCCTTGAGGTCCTTAGGGAACTCTGACACACCTAGATATGAGGGAAAGCTATGAACAATCTTGGCACTTGAGGTGATTGATTACATAACTCAGGGAGGAAGTCCTAATCAGGCTTCCTATAGTGTAACTTCTTATTTTCATTGCTACTTATGTAATTCGTTCCAATGTTGGTCTGTAATAACTTGTTGTAAGCAAGTATTGGGGTTGGATAGTGAAAGGGACGGGGTAAATATGCATGTCATAGCTGTTAAGGGTAGAAAAATATGTTTATGTTCCTAATTGCGCAATAGAAACCGTGCTTAAGGTTCGTACATGCATTAGAAATCATGTTGTTAGCCCTCATGTTTATTGTTTAAGCATGTGAACCCTTACAAAATCATGTGTTAAAATCTGCTAATAAATAGAACCTTACTATTATGTTCTACGCTGCCATGTGCATTTAGAAATCCTGCTCTTAGGAAATCCTGTAATCCTTTTTCTGCATTTAAAAGTCCATCTTTAGGAAATGTTGCATACAAATCATCATGAGCTTTATACATGCATCTTAGATACCATGTTTTAGGATCTTATCCACGTTTGCATTCACACCTGGTGTTAAAACCGCTACGGGTTTATAAAAAGCGGGTAAAAAACTAGCTTCACACTTGATTATCCTGTTTAAAATAAGTGGTAATAATTTCTGCATTCGATCGACTAGAACAACATGCTACCTTAGGGTAAAACAATTTCCAAACTGTCTTTTAATTATTCTGAATAACTGCTGCATACTATCTTACGCCTAGGCAAGCCTTAGGTAATCAACTTTAAATAAAACCAGAATCTTCTCTGTGATTAGTGTCTAATTATCAACTGTTAAATCAGTAGGCAAACCTGATTCAGACTTCTTTTATGAGTCATGTGATAAATCTGGTTCTGTTGTTATCACTTAGAAACCATGCATAGGAGTTTAAATTCAGACTTTAATTGTGTATGAGTCATGCTATCTATGTGTATTATCTGTGGAGGTATATTTGAGCCTTTCGTTTGTCTTCCATGCTCCCCTTAATTGAAGTCCTACTTGTTATTGTATGTCGCCTTAGTATTTTGCCTTTAAACTTGAGGGTCTGCCTAGAACCTCCTTCTTACAGGACAGGAGTCCTAAATTCCTCCGGGGCTGATAGGAAGGGACGAGTAACAGCATGCGATAGGAGTCGAGACCAACCTTCACTTTAATTACCTTCACGGGGGCGGGAAAGGGTAGATATGGATATGATGACCGGTGCGCTAATGCCACGCATAGCCCCTTTCTAAGGAGTGATTACCGGGTATTGTACTGATGTGATCCATATTACAAACAAACCTAGGACACCCCTCTTTACATTTATGAACATGCTTAGATTATAATCCTTTTCAAAATCTCGCTGTCTTTCAAACATTTGTGTGTTTAAACTTAAATCCCCTACTATTTGAGCCATACTTGCTTACTTGCTAATTGTACAAATTCACAAAAAACTGTCTGGCCGGGAACCACACTAGTGGATCCTGAGGGGTGCCTAACACCTTTCCCCTTAGGATAATTTCAAGCCCTTACTATCTCTGTTATCAAACCGTAGTTATTAGATGAACCTTATAGGTGCCCTAACGCACCTTAAATCGTTAGGTGGCGACTCTTCAAAAATGCAAACCCCTTTCTCCAAAAGGAAAGAGTTGTCCCAACCAAAATGTCATAAACCTGATTCCCTCCGCGAGGAAGGAAAAAGGCGCGACAATAAGTACTACTATTTGCGAAGTTGTTGATTTTATAATCTTATAAAAAATTATTATGTATGTCTTTTGATAATGCTTCTAACAATAATGCCGCTATTTCAATATTAAGACCGCACTTGAAACATTACTTGACTGAATTTTTTCATGTTAGGTGTGCATATTATATTTATAATTTAATTGTTAAAAGTGGCCTTGATTTATTTTCGACTAGATTACTCATGTTAGAGCAGTTGGTGTTATTCAAGGAAATAATAGACAATCTAGAATTAGGGAATTTAAGACTAATGTACCAAGCATAACCTTAATCCAGATTTAGCCAGATGAATAATTGTCTAGATGGAATCATACATACTTGTTTTTAAAATATTGCTATCAAATATAGATTGTCGATAACTGAAGTTGCTAATGCGCATTGTACTGATCCAAATCGTATATTAACAACTAATACTTGGGAGGCATTAATGAATGTTGTTAAATTTTTACATAAATTTTATACAGCTACTATTGAGTTTTTGGATTATATTACCCTACTGTTACAATGGCTTTAGTACATATAGTGAAATTTCTTTTTCCACTCTCTCAATTTAAGAAGAAAGAAAAATATAGGATGCTGTAGAAAAAATGCAAGCAAAATTCAAAAATTTTTTTTCAATTCCTTCGATTTAACTTAATTGGTGATGTTTTAATCCTTCTATTAAGATGTCTAACTGTCACCAATATTCAATGCTTTATATAACTTATATGGAGATTGGACCAACTGAAACCACAGATATATTTGTTTATGAGAACAAGCTATGATTTACTTACAATAATTATATAATTATTATGCAATATAAATAAATGATGCTGGCTATTAATGTAGGCAATGTTAATCCAACTATGCATTTTACTACTTCTACTGCATTTGCTACTATGGATGAAGATGAAGGCTTGGTGGTTATAATCTATATTTCCTTCCACTCAAACCAGTAGCAGGAACATTGATGAACTTTCAATTTTCTTTGCAAAAACAAATAGAGCCTCGCATAAAGGATTTTTCATACGTTGGAATGGTGGCATGAGAATGAAAAAATAATTTCCTGTTCTTTTCGTTATGGCTCGAGACGTGCTGAATGTGTGCCAATTTCAGCTGTTGCATCAAGAGAGTGCATTTAGTCAGTAAGACAATAACTAGGAGACACGCGCACTCATTGGGAAGCATGCTTCGGAAGTTTTAGTATGTTTCAGAGATTGGATTAAGATCGGAATGAAGAAATCAGGGACGTGAAGATGTTGATAAACCAGAATACGAGGAACTTGGAGATTATTAACACATGGTACCCATATGAATTTAACACTCTAGAAGAATGGCCAAGAAGTTCACATGATTATGCAATGCAAAACTTTTGAAGTTTTGATTTATATTTACTAATTAAAGTTTTGAATTTTACTCTTTTTTCTTTAATTTAGTTAGTTGTAAAATGTAAACTTTAATTTAGCAAGTTTGAGTTTAAAAAAAGAACGTGTCAAATTATAAGTTCTAATATTTTTTTTTCCATCTTCATTGTATTCTATTATCTTAGATTCTTAATGAAATATTTAAATATAAGGATTTTAAAGCCTTTGAAATTTATTAAAACACTCTTTTTATAAGATTGTTTTTATGTTTTATATTTTTACTTTATCTTAATATAAATTGCGGTAGTTATACAAATTACACATAATTTTTTAAATAAAATCGACCCGCCCAGCCTCTTAGACCCGGAACTGTTCCGATTCAATTATTCACCGGAGGTGCTAGAAACCGATAAAACCGGTAACCGACCCGGAAGACCGGCAGATCTCCTTTTCCAATAGCCCGAACCGGACCGGCCCGCCCCGTTGACACCGTTAACTAATAATTATCCAGGAAAACTTCCCTCGAGTAATCTTATGTTCAGTATTTGTCAATGCACTTGGATTTCCACAATAAAAGGTAATGTAAGTATTTGATTTGTTAATAAAGTGAGCGTATCTTCAAATTAGTGGAGTGTTGAGTGTAATTTACCAAAAATTGAGCACTTAAAAAGCTATAACAACTATTGATGCAAAGAAGGAAAAGTTCCCTTTCAAAAATAATTGCAATTATTTTAACCTAATTTCACTTTTTGCATCTACACTGTTCCTTTTTCAACAAATCAAGAATTCGCACAAATTTCTTCGGTTTCTCAAATTTGTGTTCTCATTTTTTCATCTCTTTTTCTGTCCTCTAGCGCTATACTATCCGGTGAGTTCTGTTTTGCACCACAAGTTCAATTAGATATTTAATTTCAATAGTTTATCTCCACTGTGATTATAGCTTTAACTGTATGTCAATTTACTGTATGTGTTTGACAATTTTTTTTTTTTTTTGGTTTTTTGGTAGATCCATGGAATTTTTTATAGCATTTATTAGTAGCATATTGTATCTCCTTTGACGGATAGTATGAATAGACGTAGTCAATTTTGGGATGAAGATTTCTATTGCGTAATAGCTCCAAAATGTGTTAAGGTATAATGCCACTCTGAGAACATAGACAGTTGTAAATTTGCTCAATTTACTAATAGAAATTTCAATTTTTACTCTGATAAAATAGTTCCTCCAGAATCCTTGAGCAATTTTCTACTCCCTTTTATTGATGTGCAAAATTTTGTGTCAGGATTATTTACACGCAAGTTTTTGATTGAACAGTGTTGCAAGCAGCAGTATATAAAAAGTATGGGGATTATAAAAGATGGTTCAGTGTCAGGAATATTACCCGCTAACAAGGTCTTTGTCGTACATTACCCTGCTTACCCTTCTTCAATGGAACGTGCTGTTGAGACTCTTGGCGGCATTCAAGGCATTGTCAAGGCTCGTACTTCACAGTCAAATAAGCTGGAGCTCCATTTCCGTCCAGAAGATCCTTATTCACACCCTGCCTTCGGGGAGCTTAAGCATAGCAATAATTTCTTGCTGAAAATTTCCAAGACTAAAGTAAGGGATGTCGATAGTAGTTGTGGGATATCGGGACAATCTTCAATAAGTCCTGTTAACAGTGAACAAGAAAATTCACATTCATTAGCTGCACAGAAGGTGAATGAGTCTAGATGTTTGAAAGCTACTAATTTGCAGGAGCATCTCTCGGCTAATATTGTTTCTCATGTTGCTGAAGCTTATCATTTTAATGGAATGGTAGACTATCAGCATGTTCTTGCTGTTCATGCTGATGTTGCAAGAAGAAAAAAGAGACAGTGGGCAGAGGTGGAACCTAAATTTGAGAAGGGAGGTCTTATGGATGTCGATCAGGAGGATTTGATGATTTTACTACCTCCTCTGTTCTCCTTAAAAGATATGCCTGTAAATATTGTATTAAAATGTTGTGCAAGTTTGAGCTCGAAAAAAAAACAGGACGAACTTGACCGGCAAAATTGGGAGAGGGAGATGGAGATGGAGATGGAGATGGAGCGGAGTCTTGCCATTGATTTTAATATCAAAGAGGTTCCTAAACCTGTGGATTGGGAAAAGATCATAATTCAGGGCTCAGATGATTGCAGATGGCAGAAAGCGGTATATGAGTTGTTTGAAGAGCGTCAAATATGGGCCAAAGAGTCATTGCCTGAGCGCTTGCGTGACGGGGGTCTGGAGGTTGGAGAGAGCAAGCTCAAAAAGCTTCTTGTTAGAGTTGCATATTACTTTTTGAATGGGCCTTTCCGTAGATTCTGGATAAAAAAAGGGTATGATCCTCGGAAGGATCCTGAATCTCGCGTATACCAGAATATTGATTTCCGAGTACACAACCCTAAATTACGAAGCTACTGTGAGAGCCAATTATCATCTGGATTGAAACATAGATGGGATGATATATGTGCCTTCCGAGTTTTTCCGTATAAATGTCAGATGTCATTGCAGCTTTGTGAACTCAAGGACGACTACATTCAACAAGAAATCAGGAAACCCTCAAATCAAGAAACTTGCGATAGTACAACAGGATGGTTCTCCTCTCATATACTTGATTGCTTGAGGCTATGCATTGCTGTGAGATTTATGTCAGTATGCCCTCATCCTGATGCAGACTCTTTACTAAAATCTTTCTCTGCCCGCTTTGAAAAGTCAAAGAGGATTTGCAATTATGTGAAAGTTGCAAGACCTGAAGAGCAAGAGAAAGTCAATAAAGAAGCGGAAAACAATGAAGTCGATGAACAAGAAGAAAACTATGAAATTGATGAACCTCATGTCTCAGAAGATGATGAAGATGAGTTTGAGGATGATGATGTTGAAGATGAGATGGATGCATACGAATCTCTTGACCTTGTTGGCCAGGAAGGGGATGTCTCTCTGCATGATGATCCACAAACAAACCATGATAACGTTTCTAGAGATTACTTGCAAGAGCTATTTGGTAACTTTCCAGTCAATACAGCGGGGGTGGATGAAGTGCAAGATGATCAGAGTCTTGGTGAATATCAGATATATGACCAATACATCGATGGCTCTTATTCCGAAGATGATGACTACTAAGATGTCTTTGGTATAATGATAAGAAGCAGTCGAGCAATACCAGAAGATGAACTGCTGAGTGAACAGCTGCCTTCACAGTAGCAGTTGCTACAGGGAAAGAAGCTTTTTGGCAGCCTTCTTCAACTTGAACTCTGCACCAAGTTCTGCTCAAGTTTATTAGAATTGGATAACTTGTCAAGTTTTTATATTTATAAATAGTACTAGTAATATATAATCTTAGTGTTCCACATTTTGATAATCTCAACAAGTTTGGTTTGGGATTTAAAGAACATCTTGTTTTAGAGAACATCTAATTTGTCTTGAAAACAAACTTTTCCTTATTGAAGCTAAATAGGACCATATAGAGTGAAACAAATATAGGTAATTCCTTTAGCCAACACCAACTAGTTTGGGATCGTGTCACGTTTTTTTCTTTGTAGTACTTAACCTCATACTTCACGTCACTAAATTTCTACTCTTTTTTTTTTTTTTTTTTTAAATTACTAAAATGTCATGGCACTAATGGACATTTATCTAAAACCTAACATAATAAAAGTAAATGATTCACATAGAAGATACCAACTTGTTGAGGTTAATCCATATCCAAGTAGAGATAAGAGTGACACTTAGAGAAACTGTAATTTTCCTTAAAAGGCAATATTTAGTATAGGAATGGAATCAACCTGAATAGAGTGAAAAAGATATATAGGATCCAATATAGCTGACCCCAATATTTAGAGGATGATTTTAATGCGATAAATTTTGCTGATGTTTTCGATATAGTCCCCCTTTTAATAGAGAGGAGGCAGGCAGAATCTTCTCGCATCAGGGAGAAGTATCCAGACAGAATACTGGTATGATATCTTCTGTTAAAGCTCTTGCCCTTCGTTGATGCTTCAGTACCCTTATCCCTCAGTGCTATGTTTCCACATTCAAGTGATTGTCGAGAAAGCAGAAAAGGCTGATATCTCTGACATTGATAAGAAGAAGTAAGTTGCTTCTGCGACTTTCCATGAGGGTGATTGTTAAGAATAAAGCGCTCAGTTTTAAGCTCTATAGTTATAACATTAAAAATGCATGTTCAAATCCATTCCAACCATATATGTGCAAGTTGCTCTTATAGTTTGTGTTCTCTTTCATGGTTATAATTTGACTTCTAGGTACATGATATCTGTTTTACTTCATGTATTTTTATTTTGATTTATTTTTTAGTGGCGTTTATTTTTATTTATTTATTTATTATTATTTTTATTTTGTATAATATTTGCTTGATCTCAACTTGTTCGGTCATCAGCTTTGTCCCCCCACCCCCCACCCCCACACGGGTGGGGGGAGGGCTTTGCAGTGGATGCGGATATTAACATGGCAAGTTAGGAGGATATATCTTGTGAATGCTGCTTGTACTAGTAAAAGGTTGGCAAAATTTTTGTTCAGGAATTGATTATAAAATCAGAGAATTTGTTGCCTACAAGATATTTTAATGTGGTTTGTCATGGTTGATATGAGTTTATGAGTTTCCATTTCTTTTCCTCTTATGCCCCCCGATGGAGGTGGATTTGCGGTTGTGTAAGTTTGGGGTATATATCCTGAATGCTGCAGAATTTTACATTTATTAGTATGCATTTTCGCAGGAGTAGCAATTTGACAGAGTTTGTCGCCACGAAGGTTGATGATATAATTCATTAATCATATACTTTTCTGTTAGATTCAATTTCAAGTATGGTCTGAGCTGAGTTCCTGGTGTTCATGGTCCCAATTTGAGGTTTTTCGTATCCTAAATACATGTTCCTGCCGCTATAGCATTGGATGCCGCTTTTGGTTGATTTAGATGTTTTGGCTTCATCGCCATGGAGGTTTGGCTCTGTTGCTGAAATATATATATATATATATATATATATATATATATATATTTTGTAGTTTAATTTGTATATATATGTGCAAAGAACTGTCTAGGCATTTGGATGTTTCTTCTTTTGGTGATTAAACACAGGCTGATGCTTCAACATCATGCTATTTGCTTGGGCTATAAACTTCAACATGTTTACAGAATTAGTCTCCTAAGACATGATGGTTGCCGATTATTATTCCTAATATATAAGTAGATCCGACAGAACTATAGCTGCTTTAGTGTAAACTAATTTTTGTCTTGCTTTGTGATGTAGGTACCTTGTCCCAGCTGATTTGACTGTTGGCCAGTTTGTTTATGTGGTTCGAATCTCAGTGCCGAGAAGGCCATATTTGTCTTTGTTAAAAACATTCTGCCACCAACTGGTAAGTAATATGTTACCCAAAATCTCATACTTGCCCTAGGCAATTTGTGTCTTGATATATCTTCTTCCACTGCAGCTGCTCTGATGTCTGCAATTTACGAGGAAAACAAGGATGAAGATGGATTCCTTTACATGACATACAGAGGCAAATCCAGGATTTAGCTTAATGGTGTTCAAACTTGCATTAAGCTCATTATACTATTAAAAGTATGAGTTCAGATCTAACATTTATTGAGATTTTAGTAGGTTTTTACATAGGGAAACTTACACAAATGTCCCAAATAAATCTCAACTTACCAACCTCTAACCATTAGTCATAGACTTACCAAAACTAGCCAACAAAAATTGAAAAACCAAATAATAAGGTTCTTTCTCTCAAAGAATCACATGCAAAAATCACCTTCCATAACGTGATTAGCAACATTAGATACAAGACGGAAAAGAAATTTCATGGACGGGGTGGAAAATAAGGTGATGAAATACAAAAATTTATACAATATTCCAAAAATCTAAACAAAAAAGGAACTTTTTCAATGGGTATAGTTGAAATTCATTGAAAATATATAGATAAGTCAATATACAAAATTTGAGGAAGATTGGAGGTGATTTGGACTGGTTTTGCATCGAAATTCGTAACTAAATCGAGTTCAAAAAAATCTTTTGCGACACACGTATCAAACATGTATCACGCATGAATCTCACACACATGTATACATGGATATACATGTGATACACAATTGATACAAATATGATACATATGTGATACACAAATGATATACAGTGTGATACACATATCATTTTTTTCATGTTCAGCTTTTACTTCGAATTTTCAATTAAAACCACCTCAAAACTTTACCAAATCATCCCAAAACTGAGATTCAAGCTCCTTAAGTTGTGCCCAATCTATTCTAATAACACCCACTCAAAACAAAGCAAAAATTTGATATATTTTTGCTACAAATAGCTAATTGGCTAATTTGGCTAATATTAGTAATATTTTATCAATTGGCCAATTTTTGTAATGAGCTACTTATAAATGAACATAGCAGGTAATTTTCCTTTTACATATATATTTATACATCGTGTTATGAGTTCAAATGAGCCCATAACCTTTAGGCTACATCCGCTTCTTTATCTGCTATCTTTCATCGGGTAAAGGTACTGAATAACTTTGTCTATCAAAACGCAAACAAATGAGAAGAAATCACGTGACGTCCGCTTTCTTTTTCTATTTTTTTGTTTACCTTTGTTCTTAGTGGCCTAATTTTGAAGTTGTATATGCCATAGTAGATTAGTAGCAACAGAGTTGCAGTTTTGTGATTTACATTTTTTTTTGGAAGAAAGTATGGCTGACTCAGGGATTTTGTCTAGAGACTGGAAGTTTTTTGTTATGTTATGATAAAAAAGCCTTTTACATATCTTTCCTGTTTGCCTTTTACATATTTAGATAAATCCACTAGGCATTGCCTAGGGCTAGTTTTTATTTATTAAAATGATAAAACAAAACAACGTTATGATGTCCTAAGGAGTGTAAAAATAAACTTTGTAACCTACATTTGTCCTATTATCAAGATTGAATATAATGTTCAACCATGGTATTACATAACAATGACTAAGTAAATGTGGCCCATATTTCCTTTCTGTGATGATGCATCCAGTTCCAAGTGCTGATGAAGTAGCGTCCATTTTTGCACGCATAGCACCTTTGGTTGTAGTAGCATTGGATATCCTGATAATCTACTGACCAAAATACACACAAGCATGTATTTCCTTGCCTGAAACTTGTAGCATTGCACTCAATGAATGAAAATATCAAAGTTGAAGAGAAGGAATGTCCAACAATTGCACTAGTTTTGTCATTTAATGCGCATGGCATCCTTTGATTATTGCGTGCAACCATTGTACCAAAACCTTCCGGTAGTATCCTGGTGTCTTGCCATGTAAGTAACTTAGCTCCACTCCACCCCAGCTTCTCAGTATAATTTTGGCAGATTAAATAAGCTGTGAAACTAACCATTTCAGCTGCGCTGTGCTTGGCTCCATGGACGTGTGCTGTCCTCTTGCTTGTTGTTGAATTCCTCGCCTCTAGTGATAGCTCCTGTGTTGTATTGTATTGGTGCACTTGAGTTTTGTGCACATAATAAGCTGGTTTACCCATCAACAGTTGCCACCACATGTGTTTGCCCAGGCATATGCATTGTACTTTCCAATTGTACTTTATCATGCTTATGCTTACCATCTTTCCTTCTTCAAGGGAATGAGTACCAGGTACTAATACCACCCATAGAAGTCGTAATAAATGGCAAGGCATGCTCACAGTAATGTTTCTTGCAAAAAAGAAAACAAGGTTAGTTAAAAAATTGGTCAACACCATCTCCTCCAAATGGATTTGACAATGTTGATCTTGCTTGTTGCCCTCTTTCCTACCAACCTCCATTCCCATTTCTGCATCTCCCTTGCCTCCTTACTCCTCCCTTGTTTCCCATTCCAGCTCAAGACTGTAGCTCCCCCATATCTTATATGCCATACCTCCTCCTTGACATTTCTCCTCTATTTTTCCTACCTGCTTGGCCCATAGGTTTTTGCTCCTAAATGCTCTCTCCTTTATGCTCTTGTCTTGTTGTGTGACACACAATTTTGCCTGACTCCCTGTAACCTTAGACCTCCTACAATCCTCTCCTAATCCACCTATCCCATGTTGCCCACTTCGCTTAAACATTCTGGGCCTCAGAACTCCTTTTTCTGTTAACTCCTGCCACCAAAAACTGATGTTGCTTATCGAACTGGGCAGCAGAGTGCCCTGCTTTGTCTCCTTGAGTTTTCCTTCCTTTGTTGAGCTCAGATTTTTGTTCTTGAATTTTATGCTCCTGTCTTTTTGTATCATGACCAACTTTATCTGCCTTCTTTTGTCCAATGAATTCACAGACCTATCTTCTCTCAGTCTTTGCCCATTTTGTTTAGACATTCTGGGCATAAGATCTACTGCTGCAACTGTGATTTGCAAACAACACCTGCTGCTACATAAGATGGATAGCAGGGTGCCCTGCATCACATCTATATCAATGCCTACCTTTAATTTCCCTTCAGTGGATTGAATGCTTAACATTAATACCACCACTTGAAGTTCCATTAAGAGGTAACACATTAATGCATCATCAAGCCCTGCAAAAAAAGAAAACTTTGTTAGAGAAAAATATCATCATCATGTACTCGTCACGGATGATTTATACACGATGTTTATACATTAACTCCTGTTCACCTCTCATCTCATTCACCACTCCCTTTGCCCTGTCCTTCGCCCCTACTACCTCGACACCTTTACTCTCAAATATGGGCATTGCATTTTATCTCCATTTATTAATCTCCTACCTTGTGTGTCCAGATGATGAAAAGAGTAACATTCAAAGTTCCCACGATCTAATGCATAGTTAGCCAAATGATCAGCTAACTTATTCCCTTCTCGATGGATATATGAAATTCTGCCATTGCATATCAGTAACAACTGCCTAATCTCATTCACTTCTTCTTCAATAACCCAAGGTGGTTTCCACTCCCTTTCAATAACCTTTTTGAGCAACATAGAATCTGTTTGCACCCAGATATTAGAGATGCCATCAGCCATGCTATGTTTCAATGCCTCTAGTATAGCCTTAGCTTTTGCTTGTGTATTTGACCCTTCTTGAATTTCTTTGCCACACGCGTATAGCAGATCACCGTGGTCATTTCTCAAACAAAATCCAATTGAACTCCTTTCAGGATTACCCCTCGAAGCCCCATCTGTCTTTTTTTTTGTCCAGCCTTGCATTGGGAATTCCCATAAAACCTTATTAAACTTCAACTTAAGAGTGTAACTTTCCATCATTTTCAGTATATCTGGCCATCTAAATGGTACCTGTGCAATCCCAGGTTTCCTCACCTTGATAAGTGATTGTATAGTCGTGCATATCTGGAACACCACCCTATTAGTAGATACTGGCTCCCCATGTTTATTGCTATTCCTCCTCTTCCATAGCTCCCACACAATGATACTAGGCAATGCTTGAAAAATAGGTTTGAGTCTAGGAATCACCTTTGTTGTCCAACATTTCACAATAGCTTGATGTAAGCTTAACCCCTCCATCGATAATCCAGCATGAGAAAAGAAGTACAACCACACTTTTGAAGCTGTGAAGGATCTGAAAAACACATGGCTCAGAATCTCTTCCTTTGGCAGTACACAGCACCAACATTTTGATGGCATAAAGTATCCCATTCTTCTTAGTGTATCATCAAGTGGAAGCTTGCCTTTCCATAACTTCCACATAAAGAAAGAAATTTTAAATGGCAGACCTTTAACCCACATATTGGCATATGTAATAGCTGGATCTTTCCTCCTTCTTACATATTCCCATGCTGACTTAACTGTGAATTGCCCCCTTGTTTCTAAACTCCAAATAGGCTTATCTAGTTCATCGTGCATATTAGGAGCTGGTATACTATCTATAATGTGTTGAGTTAAATCATCTGGAAGGCTTTCTCTTATTTTATCTTCATCCCATTGTCCTTCTATAACAACATCATTCACATTATGAATTGCTTCATTAACTACAAACTCCGGGGGTGTTACAAAGTATAGGGCTCCTAGTCCAGTCCAATTGTCAAACCAGAAAAGAGAAGAACCCATTCTTGGCTTCCAGAAAATCTGATGCTCTACAAGGTCCCTACATTCCAACATCTTCCTCCAAACATGTGATCCCCTTCTCCAAGGTACAATAATGGCATCCATCTTCTTGCAATATTTTTGGCTTACAAACGCGCTCCACAGAGATGGCTTGGTCCTAAAGTTCTACCATAGTTTGCAAAAAAGAGCCTTGGACATGTCATGAAGAGATCGAAATCCTACTCCTCCTTCCTCTTTAGGTATACATAAAGTATCCCATGATGCCCAATGCCTAGCTCTACCATCAATCGAGTTGCTCCAGAAGAATCTCGCAAATAGTTTATGTCGCTTGTTAATCACATAAGCAGGTGGATTCACTACAGAAAGCAAGTGCATAGGCATGCTTTGAAGCACACTACTGATCAATACTGCCCTTCCTACGATAGATAATAGTTTCCTTTTCCAAGCTTGAAGTTTATCCAGCACTTTTGAGATCAAACCTTCATAGTATTCCATTTTTCTTCTTGCGTAAAATATAGGACAACCAAGGTATATGAATGGGAAATCCTGCTTCCCTATACCAGTTATTCCTTCAATCTTCCTCACAACTTCATCACTTGTAGAATG